GTCCACAGTCCTTGATGACTTGGGGCTGCATGTCAGGCAAAGGCACTGGGGAGATGACTGTGGTTCATTCTATCAATGCACAAGTTTACATTGACATTTTGGACAGTTTTCTCATCCCTTCAATTGAACAGATGTTTGGAGGTGATGAAATCATTTTCCAAGATGACAATGCATCGTGCCATAGGGCAAAAACAGTGAAGGCATTCCTTGGAGAAAGACACATTCAGTCCATGTCATGGCCTGCAAATAGTCCAGATCAACTGAAAACCTGTGGTGGAAATTGGAAAAAAATGGTCCACAAGAAGGCTCCGACCTGCAAAGCTGATCTGGACACTGCTATCAAAGAGAGTTGGCACCAAATTGATGAAGAATACTGTTTGTCACTCATCAAGTCCATGCCTCAGAGACTGCAAGCCGTTATAAAAGCCAAAGGTGGTGTAACTAAATACTAGGGATGTATTTTGAATGGACTTTTGTTTATCTGTTTTTCATGATTTCATACTTTTTTCCTCAGAATTGAGTGATTCCATATTTGTTTACCTGTGCTTGGTCAATAAAAGTAACATTCACTGACTTCCAGTGTTTTCTCTTCATTTCTTTGAGTGTTCCTGAAAGCCAACAAGTTGCATTTTTGGAGTGACCTTATTATTGTATCATGTTTTTGATCTGAGTTTGTTTTACAGAATGAAATATCTTGAGTGCTCATCCAAGACTGGTGATTCCATACATTTCCATACATCTTCGACTAAATGCCTTCAGTCATTAAATACTGTTTATCATTGTGCTTTGAGGTTTGTAACTGGTAGCAGACGTTTCGGTTTGGCTCCAGCATATTTAAACTCTCTTTTACACAGATCTGTTAATTCCCATTTTTTTACGTTCCAACAACATTTTTCTTTTGCATGTTCCTCACTGCCGAACTGAAAAAGGAAAGCAAGCTTTCAGTGTGATGGCTCCTTCAGCCTGGAATCAGCTTCAGTCTGAAATCAAGATGTTGGAATTGATTTCACTGGATTCATTTCGAGCGATTCTTAAAAAAAGGCAACAAGAGTCTTTTAAACAGTGTCACTGTTTTTAAATTGTTTTATTCTGTTTTATAATTGTGTAGATGTATTAATCAATTTTGTTTTGTAACCAGGTTGCTGTGTACTGCAGACTTCTGCCCGGGTCCCCCTTGAAAATGAGATCTGGATCTCAATGGGGTTTACCTGGTTAAATAAATAAATAAATAAATAAAAAATAAAATTTTGCCAGGGGTTGTAGAACTGATTAAATTTTGGAGCTAACAAGATTCAAGATGGCTGCCACATACAACTGACTTCAGAAAAAACAAAATTAACTTTCTCAGTTGGTTTTTTTTTTTAGAAATTACCCTAAAATTTGGCATGGTAGCCAAGACTGATCTCTAAAATGAGAACTGCCACATTGCAAGATGTGGCAGTCAACTCCGTGTATTCCTTCACGAATTGACTTTAATTTCCCTGTTCTCTCAGTTAATAGTTTCTACCAAAAGCTGGAAAATTTCCATTCAGTTTTTAGAAAACAAACATTGGCTTTGACTTTCTTCCCTGAAACTCCTCCAAATGTTACTCAGTGTGCTTTGCCTCATTTTAAACAACAATGTGTCGTCCGAGGTCTAATCTGGGCCACTTTAGACACTTTTGGCTCAGTTACAACACTGGCAAGTGTTACACAGGCCAGATGTGGCCCTAATATCATAATCCTGTCTCGACATGGATCGCAGTGTTTTTAAGAGCTGGATGACACAAAGGAAGTGCGGAGTTTGCTCTATGTCACATAGACATGCAGATTTAACTGTTAGTACACACCGAGCTTGTTATTTTGACAGTGAAATATTTTTGTCATTATATACATTTTGAATCCAACATTTTCAGGATATTCCATATTCGTGCATTAGGGATTTCAGGATGAATATCTGCAAACAGAACAAGTAGCTCGTGGAGTTTGCCACAAGCCAATTAGTCCATCTATTATTTAACCCACAGAACATGGCATCTTTCATTTTCAAAACTTTTTTTTTTTTAGGACAGTTTTTCATTTTGCCTCAGTTTACCTCAAATAAGCTCAGGTCCATGATGGAGAATCACTGACAAATTTGCTGGACGGGAACATACTGGTCTAAAATCTGTATACGGCTACAAAAACTATCCATGTCAGCAGCAATGCACCCCCATACTATCAGAGAGGCAGGCTTTTGAACTGTGAGCTGATAAGCAGGAATGTCCCTCTCCTCTTTAGTTGTCTGACCACAGAGCAGTTTTCCACTTTGCCTCAGTTTATTTTAACCCACCTGCTACCCCTCTTGGGTCAAAATGACCCTCGAGGCCTCAGTCTTAACTGTGTTGTGAGCTATGGCTTCAGGAGACAGCAGACTTCCATAATGTTGTTCAAATATTGCTTCTTCTTTACATGATAGAGCTTTAACCAGCCTTTCTGGATGGCACAGTGAACTGTGTGGCAAAATATGTGACCCATCACATCAAAGCAAGGATCAAGTCGCAAAGTGGACTAAGTGGCAGCTATAGCATGTTGTTATGAAACAATTGCACTTTTGTTACAATATGTCTACGAGTTGTTTAAATTACACATCTGAAATAGTCAAATCATTTTTTGAAGCTCTTTTTTGAACAGTAACCACC